GCAGCTTCTCGTGTAGTCGCTCTATCAACCCTGTCCTCAATGTGGGCTTCTGCAAGGCTCCTGTGTCTGTACGTTCTCAGTGCAACTGCTGATGTAGACCACTGTACGGGCCATCCGTTGCAGTTCTACAAGGAAGTGCTATATCCTTGGAATATCAAAGAAAGGCCCCGCAGCTTCAACGAATCGATGCCATATTACAAGTACACTTGGGATGACTATTTCGACTACCTCGTTAGCTCTGGTGCGACTAGCTTACAGTTGGGTGGATATTTACTCAACGCAAAGAGCGAAATCAAGTTGGACCCTCCCTTCTACGACCCTTGGAACAAAACTAGTTTTAAAGCTTTGAGGAAACGAGTGGATGCGGCCGGCGGAGTGATAATGGCCGAGTTGGGTATATATCTCAACAAAACTTTCGACAAGGCTTCCTTCATGGAGAGTGCCAGAGAGTTCGTGAAGGATTATCCTGTTGACGGTTTCATTGTGGGCCATCTCCCATCGGATTTCAGTGAATACCCACTGCTGAAGGAACTTGTCGCGGCTATTAAAGAACTCAACCTACGGGTGTCTTTATGGTGAGTCAACAAATACCTCGGAAGACGGGAATCATATTGTGAATCACAACAGGATCCCCACAACAGGAGCTAGTGATCACAACTTGTGATCACTAGCTCCAGCAGCTGCTTCGTCATGTTAGGTTCTCAACGCTCCACTGGCAGGAACTCAAACGAACCGGCCTAGGGAAGATTGTCGATAGTGCCGTTGTTATACCGTCGCCAAGTTTCCAGAAAGAGTCCGCAGAAACCTTCAATACGGATCGTTTCGCCGAAGATATGATCAAAGATGTCGTCAAAGCTGGTGTAGATCTCAATAAGCTGATCCTCACTGTAAGTGTAGTACACTAAGTGTACGCGACTTCTACAATCTTTAGTACCTTGCTGCTTTTCTGCGATAGAGAGTTTTCTTTGGAGTCACCTTCTGCATTGATGGCGCGTTCGCTGAGACAGTCTGTCTCAGACAGATTTCATACATACTGTGTGGCATGAAATCCAACGTTGCTTTTCAGATACCACTACTCGCTAGGCCGACCTATGATAGCGGGGACATGGGATACTCGAATGCAATCTACGACCTTGTTGCGGACCCCAGGGGGAACGGATCAGTCGTCTTCTCGGATGGGACCGGTTTGTATTTCTTCTCACAAACTCGTGCAATCGAGAAGTGCCCTGGCCAGAAGTACGGACTGCACGGCATTGGACTACAAGCCGGCGACGGTTTCGTGCTGAACGATCTATACCCTTGGGACGCAGACTCCGTGTTTCACGGCATTGCTTCAACTCGCGGACGATCCCTCACCGAGTAATACTCAGCTATTTTTCTGAGGGATGCCTCTCAAGCTGGGCCTTTATCACATTTCACTTCAATGCCCAGTGGCGTCACTTATTACTTATTCATCACTTATTACGGAAGAAAGTTTCACTTCTGGGGGATGTTAAGTTGGAGAGTAAGTCTTTACCAATCGTTTGTATACAGGCTACTGAAGAGTACTAGAAATCTTCTTCGGGTTAGAGGTTCGAAATCTTATTCGAATTGTAGGTGGAGCCCCAGGCTGCACGATCACTTAAAATGGCTCAGTTCCTCCCAAGTGTGGCGAGGATTGCAGAGTATTGCTGCTAGGATAAGAGCAGCCACCAATGATGTCTGAACAGATGAACTGTACCGCCGTTTGTGCCCTCGGAGACACCGTTTTCCTCTTCATTACATCACGACGTCGTATGTGTTCCTTGAACATGATCGGACACTGTAAAGGGTGGCTTCAGCCCGTTATCAGGTTTGCGGTTGTAGGCAGCTGGAGTGAGTCACAACTGGCAGACTGCCGGCGGCAGATGATTCGAGAGAAGGTCGATAGCGAGCTCAAGAGTTCTCACAGCTCTCAATTGCTCCAAGTACACAGCAATCCTATGGTCCGGCGGACAACTTGTCCGCCGGAGGATGAAGCTCAGTTAACAGGTCTTTGGACAGTGTTCGTCGCGTTCGGCCAGAGTCTGGTCACCAGACGCAAAATTCCAGCGGGCAGTGCTCCTAGCGGTCGTGAAATACCTCCTGAGACGCCAAACATTGTGTTAATTGCAGACCGATTGAAGGTGGAAATCTCGGGGTGGTTGAGCCATATAAGTATGAAGAAAAGGCGGAACGGTCGACACATCAATGAGATGGCCATACACATCAATCACTGCCTGTGGGGGAGGTGATCATGTGCCAGACACTGTTAGACCAAGTAAAGAAAACACTAGAAATTTCACAGCCTGTAACTCACAGGGTAGTTTGTTGCTGGTAGGGTGGCACGCGGAAGGAAAAATAGAAAAATTATTTCCTTCGGAAGGAAATTTGAAATTTGAAGGAAAAACGAAGGAAAAATACGGAAAAATATGGAAAAATAAATTTTTTTCGCTTGGCCTGCCAGGTTTGGCAGGCCAGAGCGTCACTGTCTTATTCGATCAGGCTGCTAGCAGATAATTTGCACTTACTAATCATGTTTCATAGCTTGATTAGATGTAACTGGTCCAAAGCGTTACAAGATTTGTGAGATATCCGCACTGGAGGAGCCAGGGCGTGCGCCAAAGTTCCGCCGCTGGACAAGCGCGCTTGTGGAAAGTTTCCAACGTCGTTGAACATTTCTTGATTGATTCTTCAATGTCTGCATGCCTTCGTTACCATCACCACTTCTGACTGTGTTCTATCGTCCCCATCATGTATGGCAGCTGCAACAGTCTTATTTTTTCTCGAATGAGGGGATTGTCGAAAACTTTTGCGCTCATATCAGCAAGGAACGCAGACGGGAACACTGACGGATCACGATGCAAAGCGAGGTGCTAACCTTGGTCTGTCCGTAACGGCGATTAATGATCCAGTCAGAGTCTCAGACTCTGAGCCTGCGGCCGGTTACAAAACCACTGCCTGCGTCAGGACTACCTAACAGGTGAAGTGTCATTATAGCATACTTCAAAACAAACGGATAGGTAGTACCTATCCGTTTGTTTTGCAGTATGCTGCGTTGATACTTCACCGTGCTGTGCTTGTGGGAATGTAACATTTCCCACTTGAATGAAATGATCATGATGCGAACTTCGCACTGCGAAGTGCCATGCAATAACTGGAAGTTTCAGTCCGAAACCGCAAGCTGGGCCTTCCAGTGAAAGTGCGAATCGAATTCTCGCTCGCCACAAAAATCCTTGATCATCCTGGCGAACAAGGTCTCTTTATACTCAGTCTAACCGAGACCACTAACACAGGCATATATCCCAGGCATCCCCTGGTGTGAGACCTCTTGTTTTTCGGGATTTTTGTGCCCATTTATGGTCGTTTCGGGAATTTTTTCTTTATTTTTCCTTATTTTTCCTTATTTTTCCTATTTTTCCTATTTTTCCTGCTCGAAAGAATTTTCTAAATTTCCTTCATCTTTCCGAAGGAAA